GTTTCATGAACATCATATTGTGTATAATGATCGAATGTATTTTGTTTTACTTAAAAGTTTGAAGCTTAAAACACTGATCTTTTTGATATTAAAATTAGTCTTGCATGGTTTCAGTAGCGCAGCGAGAGGGCAGGGGGGAAGCACACCTTTTTTGAGTAAAAATATATAAATAAACAAAACCAAAGCATATTAAACAAGATTAAACCAACACAAAAATATTTTCTTGCTATGCCCCTGCTTGAAATGTAAACTTGCACTACTTAGTACGGTCTAAAATTGGAAAATACTTGGAAAAGGTGGTATAGGAAGAGCAGTTCTTTGATTTATTTTGAATGTACCCAGCTCCTCGTTCACTTAAGCTTTTAGTTCTGATTCTACATGAAGTAAATAGTTGTTTGTTCGTCTCAACATTGCTGCGTTTTTAAGTTATGAAAGTTTATTTGTCAAATATGTTAATGTTTGGCTAATCAAAAGACCATTATCATATTGTGAAAAGGTTGAGACCCTAAGGTGTTCTGGGTAAACAGTTTATATGGCCTTGTAAAACTCACGAATAATTAATGAGCAAAACAAAATAAAAATCACAACCGTGAAGAGTGTTGTAATATTTGATATAAACCTGTCTTGATTTGCATAAACTTCAAATCTAATTTTCTCAGCCAAATTCAATTTTATCTTTAAGTTTTTAGTAGCCGATGAATGTATACAACTAAACGTTTAACAAGTAATTTACAACATTCGAGTCCGTGTTGTATGGGCTTTACAATCTCTCGCCGTCGGCTCGTGATTGTAAGTATAGTTTACAACATGAGCGGCCGTGTTGTATGGGAATTACAATCTCGAGCCGCAGGCGAGAGATTGTAATTCCCATACAACACGGACGCGAATGTTGTAAACGACTTATAAAACTCCAACACAAATTAACATGAATTACAGTGAGATAAATGACGAAAAATGACAAATAAGGTAACTGCTGAGTTTAGTCCCTATTAAGCATGCGCAATTTACTGCAACACGGAACATTTTGAATAATTATCCATCCCACATGGAAAGCAAGCCATCTGTTGCATAAGCGAGTTCTGTTATCCGTCTTGGATTGCTTTAAAACCTAGTGAAGGTCTATGATGCGACACTAAAACTGAGACCTTTGCTAGTGTTGGGTTGTCTCAATGGTGACGACCGTGTTGTAAATCTGATACAACACTAGTGGTTGTATCAGATTTACAAGGTCAATCACCTGATTAAAYKGTYARMYCTTATTGGAGCAATAGCTTATGCATTATTAATAAGTTTTATAAAATCCCATACAACACGGCCGCTCATGTTGTAAACATTACATATTGTAGATGTGTCAGGGTGGTCCACTGTTG